AACACGTAGAGGAAGGAGTAGGAGAGGTGGAGGAGGTAGGGGTAGGGGAGGACGTGGGAGGAAGGAGTAGAGGAAGGGAGGGAAGTACGAGGGCGGTTGGTAGTATATATATATATATATATATATATATAAGGGCCGACATTGAAACTGATGGCACTGTTCATCTGGATGGTCCTGATTGTTCCAATTTGTGCAAACAAACGAGTTGGCAACATGGAAAAATGGGATCCTCTTCCTTGGGCAGGGATGATTGAAGAAGGGGTGAACCATGTGGTTGGAATCTCACCATTCGATGGACTAAGTCTAAAAACAGTAACATGGCAGAATGGGGTCTTCTTCCTTGGGTAGGGATGACTGAAGAAGGGCTAACCACGTGGCTGGATGCTAGCCGTTCGATCGACTAAGACAGACTCACGATCAAGGGTATGCACCATCAGAACTTCAAATTAATGGGATGAAGTACGGCAACATGAGGAACTTTGATGTTAAAGGCGGTGAAGGAGATATTTTATGGGGGAGGCTAGCTAGCGAGGGATGGCACCTCCATCACTAGGCACATGTTGGTCTACAATGTGTTCACATCCTCGCTGTTTGATTTGCCAGAAGGAGCTGACCAGGGCAGTTGTGTGTAAGGCATGATCTGAATGATCGAGGGGACCTCATCCTTTGAGCATTCATATTGATCAGAGCCGACCGCATGGGCACCAAAATCAGAGTAATATGGGGATTGGGTGGCATTATATGTAGGGGACAAGGGGCGTGCTGATGGCTCAATCGGGTTCATGTTGAACTCATGGCCCTCATAATCATCAGCTTCAAAGCTGGTGGAAGAAGGAGCATCACCACCATCCACTTGGTCACCACGAGGGGAGGGTTACCGATGGGGAAGGGATGGGCTACGCATGGGCAGTGAAGGACCTCCTTGATGAGGATTCATGACCGCTACTTGTGGGGGACTCCCTGATGGGAATTCACACTCTGAGATGGATGGTCGAAGGTTATGGATTTTTGAGGACGCTGGCCAATTGGCACATGCAGGCAGATGGTGGGTTGGTAGAGGCTAGTTGATGGGATGGGAGTGGCCTGAGATGGATCTATAAGGATCATTGGCTTGGGGGTTGGTATGGTGCTGTGGGGATTCCAGGAGGCCTCATGGCCTGGTAGGGGGATGGCAGAGAAGAGATTACCTGAAGAGGAAGGGGTACATTATGGACCACAAGGAATGAAGTTAGATGATTGCCAACCAAGAGAATATCAGCCAATCTCAACCATACTCCAAGAATTTTCCCCATGCATATCTCAAGCAAAATATCAAGGAGCACCAATAGATCAGTAAAAAACTAAATCATGCAATTGATATCCCAGGAGTTCTTGAAAGTAAATGTCAAGAAAACATTTATTTATGTTTATTAAAAAGAAAAAAGAAAATATACCAATAAATGAGCATAGTTATACACAGAACTCCTACTTAATGAAAGCAAGTGGTTATAAATAATAGTTAAACAGCTCTTCAAATTTCCACCAGGCAATTAAATCGGGAAACAGAAACTTCCATTACCAGAAAAATAATCCAGCAGTTCACTTAAATGTAAGCTAGAGATTCCAAAATAAAAACACCCCGTGACTTCGAAGTGCATGACATAGGGGCTAACAACAGGCTCCACAAATAGCCAAATTAACATATTTCAGATGGACTTTTTTTTTTTTTGATGTTATATTTCAGATGGAGTTCCTAGCCATAAATACCCCCATGGCCATTCCACTATAGAAATTGCAGTAATTTTGATCAGGAGAAAGGGTTCACCTTGAGAATAATCTTGGCAATGTAATAGAGTGCATGCTCTGCATCAGAAGTTTCACGATCATCATCTCTAGAACTTATGAGGATGACACGATCTTCATATGGCTGCAAGGACATTAAACAAAATACAGTGTTTCATGGACACAGCTTCTAGATACTCTTAATCTTCAAAATACACATCGATTTGGCAAATGGAACATAATAAAGTGAAGTTGTCTTGCAATAAAAAGGAAGCCATGGGCTAAATCCCATTTTGTAAGAAGTAGATTTCAACAAATACTAGCCTTTAGGAGTTCCATGAAAGATCCAACGTCTCTTAAATAGGCAAAAATATATAACTTCTTTGTAAAAAAATGAATCATGAAAAGAAAAAAGTTTGCCATCAGAAAGTAACAGCACATGAATTACACTGGGAATGAACACAAAACCCAATTTGTCATTGCATATAACAGAGAAGAAGTAAATTTAGCAGCAATAACTTGATATATTACTCAACTATTGAACAATAAGTACGTGAGTTGCATAAAAAGGTTCAATCATAAATGCCATTGAAACACTTCAAAGCATATTTAGAAGGAACACTGCTAAATGTACCCTTTGGAAACACAATTGTATGGAACTTATATAAGAATTCTTCTTAGTGAGCACACCCGCAAAAAACACCATTAAATATGGGCATATCGACTAATTAAAATCATAGTAAAATGGAAATGGCGCAATTAAAAATTAATGTTTATGAGAAAGTAACTTTTTTATCTCTTTATAAGGAAAATTTTAAGAAGAGGAAGGTGAGTTTCATCTTGATTTCAACCGCAAATGCTTGATCTCACATGCATTGAACATAAATACCCAGCAGAATGGAAGGGAGTTGCTTAGTGTATTCAATACAAAGACTCAGGTCAGGACTCGCTAGGGTCCCCAGCTCGATTCAGGTATGACAGACTCCACCTGAGTCCTAATATACCAGTTCCCATGGGTTTGGTTCCGAAATTGGCAGCCTGCTGAGTCCAAAATCGGACTCGCCAAGTCTTGATTATGGCTTTTGCTCCAGATACTGAAACTGGAGGCAGCATATGCAATTACACCTCATAATTTAGAAAAATAAAATAAAAATGATGTTAGAGAGAGAAAGATATGAACTTAGATGCAGAGATTAATAGTTATAATAAATAATCAAATCACATCTTTGAGAAATGCAGATGTTAGAGTTTCCATACAGAGGAAAAAACTCACATACAGAAGAGGAAAGAGAGTGAGAGAGAAAAGAGAGAATTTTTGACAGATGAAGCTACGGCATCCAACAAATGGAGAAGTTAATCCAATTGGGGGCAAAAGCCTACAAAAAGATCACTTGAATTTACGAAAAGGTTGCTTGGATATATCCGTGGTTTATTCCTTATCTCCAAAATCACATTTTATTTCTTCATTCATCTTGATCCGCCCAAAGCAATGGAGTCAACAACATCTACAGAGAGAGAAAGGAACTAGTGGAAAGAGAAAAATTAGTAAAACCTCGAGAGAGAAACAACTGAGAGCTCCATATAATTAGCGAGCAAAAAGAGAGAGAACAAATAGGCCTAGAGAGAGAAACAGGTTGGAAGTTATAGAAAGAGAGGGACTCACGGCTAGGGCATCAGCAATCTTGATATTGGCCCTGGTGTCCTCTCTTATCCTCCGGATCTGGCTTCCCTCTCTTCCTATCACCCTTCCAATCTGCTTTGAAGGTACCACAACCCTAAACCATATGTCTCCAGCCTCACCAGCTTGCCTCTTACTTCGACGCCTGTAATTCTCGTCGCCATGTTCTTCTCTCTCTTCTCCATAGGGATGATGTTCGGATGGAGAACTCCGGCGCCTTTTCCGGCCATCTTCATCACTTCTCCTGCGAGAGTCGGAATGGTACCTATCTCTCTCTCTATCTCTACTGTCAGAGCGATGGTCCTCTCTCTCTCCAGATGACCGATGGTCCTCTCTCTCTCCAGATGACCGATGGTCCTCTCTCTCTCCAGATGACCGATGGTCCTCTCTCTCTCTAGATGACCGAAGGCCCTCCTCTCTCTCTAGATGATCGAGGGTCCTCTCTCTCTCTAGATAAGCTCTCTCTTTCTCTCTCTGGGCGCTGCTCGCCCTCTTCTGCAGAGGACTCGACACCAGAGAGGCGGGGGAGGGTGTCAGGTGAGTTATCTGCGCTCATTTCTAGAGAGAGAAGAACAGGGGTTTCTAAGCAAAAGAGAGGGGGAAGTTTTGTAGCATAGACTAGTTCTACAAGTGTAGAGAGAGAATTAGAGATGGAGTTTCAGAGAGATCCCATTGCAGGAAGAGAGAGAAATGGGGTTTAGATAGATATTTCTATTCCAGGTGGCTTAGAGAGGGAAAGGGGTTTGCGGAGACAGCGATAGGGTTTTGCAGTGGAGAACCGTGATCTCGTAGACTTGAGGCACATTTCTATGATGTAGAGAGAGAAACGCGGGTTTAGAGAGAGAATGCGTTGAATGCTAGAGAGAGAGAAGAGTTTCTATGCGAAGAGGGACAAGACTTTAGAGAGAGAGAAGAGTTCTATGCTAAGAGGATAAGACTTTAGAGAGAGAAGAGTTCTATGCGAAGAGGGAGAAGACTTTAGAGAGAGAAGGGTTCTATGCGAAGAGGGAGAAGACTTT